TGTTATATCTTCTTCTTGGATTGATCTTTTGATCATTATGTAGTGTCCATCTTTGTCTCTTTTCACAGCCTTTATTTGAAAGTCTATTTTATCTGATATGAGTATTGCGACTCCTGCTTTCTTTTGGTCTCCGTTTGCGTGGAATATTTTTTTCCAGCCCTTCACTTTTAGTCTGTATGTGTCCCTTGTTTTGAGGTGGGTCTCTTGTAGACAGCATATATAGGGGTCTTGCTTTTGTATCCATTCAGCCAGCCTTTGTCTTTTGGTTGGGGCATTCAACCCATTTACATTTAAGGTAATTATTGATAGGTATGGTCCCGTTGCCATTTATTTTGTTGTTTGGGGTTCACGTTTATACCACCTTTCTGTGTTTCCTGTCTAGAGAAGATCCTTTAGTATTTGTTGAAGAGCTGGTTTGGTGGTGCTGAATTCTCTCAGCTTTTGATTGTCTGTAAAGCTTTTGAGTTCTCCTTCATATCTGAATGAGATCCTTGCTGGGTACAGTAATCTAGGTTGCAGGTTATTCTCTTTCATTACTTTAAGTATGTCCTGCCATTCCCCTCTGGCCTGAAGGGTTTCTATTGATAGATCAGCTGTTATCCTTATGGGAATCCCTTTGTGTGTTATTTGTTGTTTCTCCCTTGCTGCTTTTAATATTTGTTCTTTGTGTTTGATCTTTGTTAATTTGATTAATATGTGTCTTGGGGTGTTTCGCCTTGGGTTTATCCTGTTTGGGACTCTCTGGGTTTCTTGGACTTGGGTGGCTATTTCCTTCCCCATTTTAGGGAAGTTTTCAGCTATTATCTCCTCGAGTATCTTCTCATGGCCTTTCTTTTTGTCTTCTTCTTCTGGGACTCCTATGATTCGAATGTTGGGCGTTTCACATTGTCCCAGAGGTCCCTGAGGTTGTCCTCATTTCTTTTGATTCTTTTTTCTTTTTTCCTCTCTGCTTCATTTATTTCCACCATTTTATCTTCTAACTCACTTATCCTATCTTCTGTCTCTGTTATTCTACTCATGGTTCCCTCCAGAGTGTTTTTGATCTCATTTATTTCATTATTAATTTTTAATTGACTTTTTTTAATTTCTTCTAGGTCCTTGTTAAACCTTTCTTGCATCTTCTCAATCTTTGTCTCCAGGCTATTTATTTGTAACTCCATTTTGTTTTCAAGATTTTGGATCATTTTTATTATCATTATTCTAAATTCTTTTTCAGGTAGATTCCCTATTTCCTCCTCTTTTGTTTGACTTGGTGGGCTTTTTTCATGTTCCTTTACCTGCTGGGTATTTCTCTGCCTTTTCATCTTGTTTAGATTGCTGTGTCTGGAGTGGGCTTTCTGTATTCTTGTGGTCTGTGGTTCCTTTTTATTGTGGAGGTTTCACCCAGTGGGTGGGGTTGGACGATTGGTTTGTCAAGGTTTCCTGGTTAGGGAAGCTTGTGTCAGTGTTCTGGTGGGTGGAATTGGATTTCTTCTCTCTGGAGTGCAATGGAGTGTCCAGTAATGAGTTTTGCGATGGGTCTTTGTGTTAGGTGTGACTTTGGACAGCCTGTATGTTGACACTCAGGTCTATGTTCCTGCGTTGCTAAAGAATTTGCGTGGTATGTCTTGTATTAGAGCTTATTGGCTCTTGGGTGGTGGTTGGTTTTAGTGTAGGTATGGAGGCTTTTGGGTGGTCTCTTATTCCTTAATGTTCCGTGTAGTCAGGAGTTTTCTGGTTTTCTCAGGTTTTGGGCTTAAGTCTCCTGCCTCTGGATTTCAGTTTTATTCTTCCAATAGTCTCAAGACTTCTCCAACTATACAGCACTGATAATAAAACTTCTAGGTTAATGGTGAAAAGATTCTCCACTGTGAGAGACACCCAGAGAGATTCATAGAGTTACATGAAGAATAGGAGAGGGAGGAAGGAGATAGAGGTGAGCAGGAGGAGAAAAAGGGGACTCAAGAGGAGAGAGACAGATCTATGCAGTTATCTGTTCCCAAAGTGTTCTCCGTAGCCCAGACACCCACAAAGATTCACAGAATTGGATTGGGAAGAGAAGGGGAAAGGAGGAGATAGAGGTGTTCTGAGGTAGAAAACAGAGTCAAAAGTGGGAGAGTGATCACCACACTCCTGAATAGAAATGGGAACTGAATATTGGATTCTTAAATGTCCAAAATTTATATCACATACTGAAAAACAAAGATTAAAAATCTAGTGTAGAGGTTAGACTCTTTGAAATACAATATTTAAAAACAAAAACACACAAAAAATTTAGAAATGTATATGAGGTTTGGTTTAAAAATAGGGTTTTTCTCTCTCTTTTTTTTTTTTTTGGCAAGGTTATAGTGAAATGAAAATGGAAATTAAGGAATAATAGAGGAGTATTAGAGGACTTTAAAAGGAAATAGAAGAGAAAAACAAGAAAAAGAAAAAAAAAAGAAAAAGAAAAATTTTTTTTCCTCCTAATTAAAAAAAATCGTAAAAATATATGAAAATGAAAGTTGAGGAGTAATGGAGTAATAGGGAATTTTAAAAGAAAATAAAAGAGAGAAAATAAAACATAAAACAAAGGAAAGAAAAAAAATTTTTTTTAAATTAAAAAAAAAAAAACATATATATCTAGGAATTTCTCTGGAGTTGTTGCAGTCAGCGTAGGTTCAGTTCAATTTCAGATAGCTCCTCTTTCCAGCTTACACTTCTCGATATCTGTAGGCCCCTTCCTGTGTAGTCGGTGTTACCTTCAGGGATTTTAATCTGTTGCACCAGTCCTTTCTGAAGCGGTTCCCTTTGTTTATTTGGCTTCTGTTTGCCGTCTCTTTGGTGTCTAATTTCTGCCCTGACACAGGCGGGTGGAGGTGATCTCTTATTTAGGTTCTCTAGTTCAGTTCAGTCCTGCTACGGGGAGGGCGGGCGCTGCAGACAGACACCGCTCTGTGTGGATAGCACTCACCGTGTTCCGGTCACACTGGGTTTGCCCTGCTCACGGGTGTCAGTGCTTTCCCCGTCTACACTGCTCAGGCTCCCGGCTGCTCTATGTGGAGCGGGCCCTGCGCTGAGTGCGGTTCCAGTTTTCGGGTACCCCACAAAAGCGCGGATTCGGTTGTGCCTGCTTTTTGTGCCTTTCCTGGCCTGAGCGGCCCAGGCAGCCAGAGGCTTGGGCGCACTCTCCCCGGGTGCAGCGCGCCTTTTCCCTCCGCGGTGAGCGGCCCAGGCAGCCAGAGGCTTGGGCGCACTCTCCCCGGATGTGGCGCGCCTTTTCCCTCCGCGGCGAGCGGCCCAGGCAGCCAGAGGCTTGGGCGCACTCTCCCCGGGTGCGGCGCGCTTTTCCCCTCCGCGGCCCCAGCGCGCGCCGCCAGTCGGGTCTCAGGAAGTCTTTAGATAGGAACCGGGGGCCTGTTTGCAGTGTGGGAGGGGGTGGCTTCTCAGGGGCTGAGTTTGCCCTTTTCCCCTCCCCCCTGCCTCCAACCTCCAGCGGGGATGGGCCGGCTCTTCTCTGGACTTTCTCAGTCCCTTTGTTTTGCGAACCGCAGGCAGTGTGTTCCGGCCGGTTAATTTTGTCCCACCGTTTAAAAAAAGCTCCCTCCAATTGCTCTCAGGGTCCTCGGGCCGGTCCCCACCCCAAGCAATGCCGCCCGCTCCTCTCCTCTCCGCCCCCGCCCGTCGCTGGCAGGTGCCGGCGTCCGGGGCACTTCTCTGCTGGGAGTTGCCTCCAGGCATGTAATCTGTGGGCCTTATTCAATTTTTCCTCCCAGTTAGATTGCCGAAAACTCGCCCCAGTCCCGCCAGTGCGAGGGTTTCCCGGTGAATGGAAACTTCCTCTACCAAGACTCCCTTCCGGGGACGGGTCTCCGTCCGCAGCTCTTCTGTCTCCCTTTTTATCTTTTATATTTTGTCCTACCTCCCTTTGAAGACAATGGGCTGCTTTTCTGGGCACCTAATGTCCTCTGCTAGCGATCAGAAGTTGTTTTGTGAAATTTGCTCAGCGTTCAAATGTTCTTTCGATGAATTTGTAGGGGAGAAAGTGGTCTCCCCGTCCTATTCCTCCGCCATCTTGGCTCCTCCTGGAGTAATGTTTATAACAGGGAGGAAAGAATGGCTCACAATATCAGATGAAAAAACTCAAGAAATACAGGTGTCCACATTATTTTGTAAGGAAATACATACATGCTTTTCAAAAAAAGACTAAATGGAAATAAAACAGTGATTATTTCTGGATAATTGAATTACAGGTTCTACTGTTTGTTTTCCAATGTTTAATATTGAACGTTATTATTTATGTGATCAGCTATAAGATGATGCTTTTAGGGCTTCTCTGGTGGTCAGTGGTTGAGTCTGCCTCGCAATGCAGGGGACACCGAGTTGATCCCTGGTCTGGGAAGATCCCACGTGCCCTGAGCAGCTGAGCCTATGAGCTACAACAGCTGAGCCCGTGTTCTAGAGCCTGAGAGCAGAAACTCCTGAGCCCACGGGCTGAAGCTCCCGAAGCCCTTGCAACCTAGAGCCCATGCAGAAGCCCAGTGAGAAGCACGTCCACTGCAATGAAGAGGAGTCCCCCCCTCACGGCAAATAGAGAAAGCCCACACACAGGAACAAAGACCCACCACAGCCCAGAAGTAAAATAAATAAACACATGAATAAATTTTAAAAGAAAAAGAGTATGCTTTTAAAGGTGGTTTCAGTATATTAACAACTATGTGGTCTTGAAAAAGGAAATTTTTCCTTTTTTTTTTTTCATTTATTTTTATTAGTTGGAGGCTAATTACTTTACAATATTGTAGTGGTTTTTGTCATACATTGACATGAATCAGCCATGGATTTACATGTATTCCCCATCCCGATCCCCCCTCTCACCTCCCTCTCTACCTGATCCCTCTGGGTCTTCCCAGGGCACCAGGGAAAAAGGGAATTTTTCTACCTCTAGGTCATACAGGTTTGTATCCCCCAGTAATGTCTTATCATCCTCAAAAAACATCTACCAAGAGCATGTATGAAAAGATCACACACTTCAGTTCCTTTACCTTCTCTTACTCGTGGGCAGCGCAGTTGACTTCCTTGGATGTCATTTTGTTCAACTTTGTGCCAAGTGAGGTACTTAAAAGAATCTGATGGAAGCTTTAAAGTAAGAGAGAAGAGAAATATCATCTGGCGATAAACAGTTCACTTACTTTATGTGTACAAGTAATGTGAACCCATCCAAACATTGAGCTAAATCGAACTCTAGGTACCTAATGACATACTTATTGATGTTATGTTAGTCCAATCTAAATTATTTATTTTTATTCAATTTTGCATCTTCCAACATCTACAACTGATTTATGTTTGATGACAAATGATAGCACAAATAAATATATGTACCCATTCATGAATCCACTTTACACCACCTCTAATAATCTGTCCTCTGATATTTATTGAATAGCTCATGAGGAATCTCATTCTGTTTTAGAATAGTTGTAATTGTTAAAGGTTCTTCATTATATGGATCCGAAGTAATCCTTCTAAGTTAGTCCAGTTGTACAAGCTCTGCCTTTTGAGGCTACACGGAAGAATCCCTTCACATTTTAAGTGTCTGATAATAGTTGTCATCCTCTTTGTCATTTAGTTATTACTTACAGATCATGGTTTACAAATTATTGACTACTCAGGAAGAGCGTGGTTCTCCTTGAGAAGAGTTCCATTTTACTGACATTGTTCCTAAAATGTGTGGCCAATATTGAATGAAATATTTCAGGTCTCTGGTCATCTTCCTTGTTCTGGACAGTGTATTGCTGACCAGAATATGTGTCAAGATCACATCTGGGGCAATTTTATGCTGTTTATTACTATTGAAGCTGTAGTCAATCAAAATTCCTAGTATCTTACATGACTTATGATAGTTTCAAGGTTAGCACAAACAAAAAGGCATATTACTCAGCAAAGAATATTATGTTAAATACATACACCATAGATTCATTCTTCTGTTAGCCATGTTATACCTATACAGACAAACCAAGGATATTTGATTTGAAGAAATGCCATTACAATATTTGGGACAACTACATTCATCTCACAGAACAGTATTTTGTATAGTTTTTCTTTGCTTGAGGCTGTATGACTAACATAAAAAACATTTTCATCATTAAATAAGATTATGAGGCACTGGATTAAACCAAGCTAAACATTTATCTTTACTACAGGACTTCTCTGAACCTTTAGTATCCTAAGATATATTTTGAGTCTGTACTATGAAGTATTTTCCTGGACTTTTAAACCACAGAACCTTTGATTCTTAGCATAGCACATGGAACTAGCTCATCCTATAAAGCAAAATTTGGGGCAAGCTGCCTCAAAATAAATTGGGAAGAGGTGGGTTTTTAATAATCGTTTTAGCTTTGATCTTTTACCTTCATTACTTGTTTACTGAATGACCTTAGTTTTTCCATAAATATTTAAACATATTCATTTAAAAAATAACAAAAGTTCTCTAACTTGATTAACAACAATATTAAAAAGTTAATTAATGCTTGAGCAATTCTTTGGGACAATCTGAGGATTTGCTAACAGACTTTCAAGTAATTCACTTATTCTTCAGAACCAGTTTTTAAAAAACTAAGAAGCACAAACACATTTTAGATTATTGAAAAATGTAGTCTGTCTTGGGCTGTTCGGTTTACATGTTTGTGGAAGCATCTTTCCCAATCTGTTACGTGCTTTTGGAATTTGCTTTGCTTGTTACTGTCATAGAATAAAAATTTTTTAGAAGTTAAATTTCCTGTAGTTGCCACATCCAATTGCCTTTTTGTGCTATTTCATGAGACTCTAGCTGGGAAAAAATGAATCTAAGCTAAAGTTATATTGAAAATAAAGTTTCTGTTTTTCAACTGATATCTAATTTTGTGCCCCCCCAAAAAAACTGTCAGTTTTTTAAAGGAGTTATGTGGTTGATTTTGGGGTTTCTAACATCACAGGAAAATGAGCCATTGCATTTCTTTATGTCTGTGAAAGGCTGTAAACATATTGCAGTTGTGTGACCATGCTTTCTTAAAGGACTCGTGAATATTCCTGTGTCTTACCCTGTTCTTTTTTTATTTTAATGGACCAAGTGATTAATCCATTGGTTCAATAAATATTTTTGAAACTAGAACGCTTCAACTCACTAATTTATTGAAAAATAAATATGGTGCCCCTGCTATGCGGCAGGCACTATCTCAGACACTAAAGATACAGAGTTAAATAAAATATGGTATTTGTGCTTGAAAAACTCATTTTCTGTAATTTGAGAGGAAAACATAGAAATAACTCTTTTTCATCCAAGGAAAAGTGGAAAAGTTTTGAATGAAGGAAAGGAGGGACAAAACTTTGTGATTCCACTTAGATGAGTTAAAGAACAGTCTTGGAAATGGTACATTTAGGAGGAAAATTTTTTATCTGGTGGACAAAGGATATTCCATAAAGAAAGGAGATAATTCTTAGACTAGAGACAGAATTTGAACTCAATTTGAACTCAGTGGGGAAAGGAAGGGACACCATTGTTATGTCTCTGGTCATTATCTTTTCTATTCATCTCTATCTCTTTTGTCTTCCTTCCTCCCCCCCAGATTCTTTCCTCTCTGAGGTGGGACTGAGAGTAACAATTTTCATTTTCTCCCCAGTTACAAGGATAGATTTAAGACATGTTTGCGTGTGTGCTAAGTTGCTTTGGTCATGTCCAACTGTTTGTGGCCTTACGGACTGTAGCCTGACAGACTCCTCGATCCATGGGATTTCCCAAGCAAGAATACTGAAGTGGGTTGCCAGTCCCTCCTCCAGGGAATCTTCCCTACCTAGGGATCGAACCCGCATCTCTTATGATTCTGCCTTGGCTAGCAGGTTCTTTACTACTAGCGCCACCTTGGAAGACATGTATACACTTATTAAAAAGTGTAAAGTGTTAAGTAAAATGCATGTTAAACTTAAGACTAAGTAAAGAACAAATTAAAAAATACTTACCAGGGATGATATTCCAGAATCTGAACGAGAATACGGTGTTCTGTTCCTGGAGAGAGCCCAGGGCGTGTGTGTCTCACTCAGATAGGAGCCATAGGATGAATTAGATGGGCAAGTCTCCTGATCACTTGCATTTTGGGCTGAGGAGCTGAGTGAAAGAAAATGCTTAAGAGGTTCGGGAGGGAGGGGATATATGAATACTTATGCCTGATCCACATTTTTGCAGGGCAGAAACCAATACAACATTGTAACGCAATTATCCTCCAATTAAACATTTTAAAAAATGCTTAAAGTTTTTAAATGCAAATAGCTTTGAATAAAACAACAATAGCCACAAATTATAAGCATTAGCTTTTCCATTTATAGGAGAGATAAGTGATACCCTAGGAATTCTGTCATAGGCCTAAACACAATTTTTATGGCTGACAGTCACTTAAGGCAAATTCTCCTCCAGATAAGAAAGAGTGTCTACAGAGACTGCACATCTTTGAAAAGTAAATCTAATAGTACACAAAAATACATACTCGTAGGATATGAATAGGGAAATCAGCCCTAATTTTGTAATACCATTCCTAGTAGAACTAATATTACAGATTTGCCTAGTGCCAAATAAGCTTTAAACTCTCTACTGGTTTTCCCATTGATCTGGGTCTTCCATTTTCCCTGAAATTTCCCCTAGACTATTATGTTTCCTCAAATTGGTGGCAAACATATTAAAAATTCAGGTTCTTTAACCAATTTTATTCACTTTAAAATACTGCTCAAATATTTCACTTAAAAACAGTCCTATTCCCTCTGTATTCCCATTGTTATGCCACTGAGATATAAAATGTCTTTTTGCTTTCCTGTAGTTATTTACTGTTATTCTTGCACTTTTCCCTTTCTCCTCAAGAGTGGTTCTGTTTCTCTTTCTGTAATTGGTACTGTATATTACTTTAAGTCAATTTAAAAATAATATATGAGCATGCTTTTTCATGTTAAGTAAAACTAGAAATTGTATCTATCTCTGGCCTCCTTTTACCCTTGATGGATTATTTCTCAGGCTCCGAGAATCTTAAGAGACAGCATTCTATATTTTATGGCACAGTTATTATGAAGCTCTGTAGCAATTTTGCTTACAAGAAACTGACACATCTCTTGTATATTGAAGTTGCCTTCATGAAGTATAATGTAGAAATGTCTTTCATTTTTCATGTATTAACTGATGCGTTAGAGTAGAAGAGCATAGCCATTACATCATATTCTTAAAATAGTGCTATTGTGCCATTAAGAAAATAAAACAACTGTCTCCTTGTGTTATCAAGGAGAAAATTATCCCTCCATCTACCACTAAATAGCAAAAGATTTGGTCTTAATCATGTGAAAAACTCAGAAAATATATACCTCTCCAATATTCCCCAATTGAGCAATTCTTTAATAAACTGGATATGGTTTTCTTGACATACCAAAGAATACCTTACCATGGCAACAAATTAACAAACATTAGATAAACATTACAGTGTGAAAAATTTATTATTCCTGAAGCAGGTAAATCCTGCTGTCTCTAACCATAGTTTTGGCCAACAATCAGGGAGAATAAAATAAGGCAAAATGGAACAGTATTGCAGGGAATGAACAGAGGATAAACGTTTAACTGAATTTTGGTTCTCTTGTCTTTATGAAAATATGCTAGCCATTTTCTGCCCAAATGAAATCAGGAAGATAAGGATAATGATATGACTGACTCTTCTGTGATTCTGAACTTTAGTAATGGTTACGCAGTGATGAGGGCCTGACAAAACATGGTCCACTGGAGAAGAGAATGGCAAATCACTTCAGTATCGTTGCCTTGAGAACCCTATAAACAGTATGAAAATCTGGCTTAAAACTCAACATTCAAAAAACTAAGATCATGGCATCCAGATGTATCACTTCATGGCAAATAGATGGGAAAAAAAATGGAAACTGTCAAATTTCATTTTCTTGGGCTTCAAAATCAATGTTCACACTGACTGCAGTCACGCAATTAAAAGACACTTGCTCCTTGGAAGAATAACTATGGCAAACCTAGACAGTGTATTAAAAAGCAGAGACATTACTTTGCCAACAAAGGTCCATATAGTCAAAGCTTTGGTTTTTCCAGTAGTCATGTACGGATGTGAGAGCTGGACCATAAAAAGGCTGAGCACCAAAGAACTGACGCTTCCAAACTGTGGTGTTGGAGAAGACTCTTTAGAGTCCCTTGGACTGCAGGGAGATCCAATCAGCCCATCCTAAATAAAATCAACCCTGAATATTCATTGGAAGGACTGATGCTGACGCTGATGATCCAATACTTTGGCCACCTGATGCAAAGAGGTGACTCATTGGAAAAGAGCCTGATGCTGGGAAAGACTGAAGGCAGAAGGAGAAGGGGACCACAGAGGATGAGATGGTTGGATGGCATCACTGACTCAATGAACATGGGTTTTAGCAAACTCAGGGATATAGTGAAGGACAGGAAAGCCTGGTGTGCTGCAGTCCATGGGGTTGCCAAGAGCCAGACACGACTTCACAACTGAACAATAACATGGTGATGAGAAACAGGCCCAACAGGAAAATCTGGAAGTGTCTATCTCTCTCTTGTTTTGAAACCTTAAGTGTGAGAAATGATCTTATTTTGTTTAAAGGAGAGCACAGGGAACCATAAGTTCACAAAGCCAAAATGTCTGATAAGAAGGATCCAGTTGATCGGGTTTTCACTGTACTTTGGTTGTGTAGTGCTGCAAGACCAGGCACAACAGCTTCAAGGTAAAATCACGTTTACAAAGAACTGAAAATTATCTCATTATCTTAGTTTACATTAGATTGTTTGAAAGTTTAAACTAGAAGAACTATTTGTGCCATTATCTTGACTGCTACTAGACATTTGTGAATAACAGAAAGTACTTAAAACTTTGGTAACAGAAATAAATAGGCAAATAACATCCTTTCTCTTTCAGCCGCTGTTTTCCTGCCAGAATGGAATGAAATAAATTTGGTCTAGAGTTTCAGCTAAGGACAGATTATCTGAGAAGATTCTAATCAGTAGATAACTAGTGTGACTCTCTTCCAGTGTGATTACTTTCTGTGGGCCCCAAAGGCTGGATTCTTTCTCTCATATTCATATATTCCTCCTAGACACCACACCAGAGGGCAGTGGTGAAGAGCAGTGTGCTCACATTGTAAAGTAAAACCTTTGGGGAATTCTGAAGCTCTTCTTTGTTCCATTACTTCTATCATGAATTCCATATAGAAGTTTATTTTGGTCTGGTTTGGGGGGGAAAATATCAGCAAAGAAAGATAATTTGTGATCCTTTAGTTTAAAAAAAGAAAAGGTAGAGCATCTTCCAGGTTATCTGACTAATCCAAACTTCTACCCCATCTGCCTTCATGCACACATCGCTGATGTCCAGAGTGCAAAACAGTGAGTCCCGAGAATCTAAAACTGTTACTGCTGTGACCTTGGGTCACTTAGCACCTCTGGCGGGTCCTTACATTTAATATTCAGAAGATGATATGGACTCTGCCTGAGTGAAAAGCTTTTCTGGTTTGGTTTTGTGTTTTTTTGACAACAATATTAACAGGATGACAACTATTACTTATATAATGATTTTATAAGTAACATTTATTAATCATATGCTATGTGCTAGGCATTATTCTAAGAACTTTACAGAGATTAATTCATTTAATCATTGTTGTTGTTCATTCACCAAGTTGTGTCCAAGTCTTTGCAACTTCATGGACTGCAGCACGTCAGGCTTCCTTGTCCTTTACTATCTCCCAGAGTTTGCTCAAATTCATGTCCATTGAGTCAGTGATGCCATCCAACCATCTCATCATTTGCCACCCCGTTCTCCTTTTGATTTTAATCTTTCCCAGCATTAAGGTCTTTCCCAACAAGTTGGCTCTTCACATCAGGTGGCCAAAGTATTTAATCATTAAAATCACCAAAGTGCATAGCATCGTTATTTTGATTTTAGAGATGAGGAAGCAGAGACCCAAAGAGGTAGCATAACTTGTCCAAGTCAAACAAGTAAATGATCAAGTGTTTTTAATTACTACAATTCAAATAAGATTCAGATAAGTTACTGTGATTCTTTAACTGTAAATCTGTATCATTTATTTGGATGCAGTTGTTATTAAGGAAAATCATTAATATTGATTTTTCCTATTCTGATTGCTTCACTTAACTACAGATAAATAATTCACTAGTTAATAGAACATGTAAATCTGAGCAGTGACTCTTTACTGAAAATAAATGGTAAGCCTTTAGTAGTAGAACCTATGAGAACATCATTCCAGGTAACATCAAGCTGTTTTAAAAACCCTCTCATGTCTCCCCTCCCCAAAGAAAACCAGACTTGTAGTTTAGTTGGTATTTTGGTTTATTCATTTTTAATCTTTCTGCCTGCATTGAACAAATAAATATCATAAATTGTAACTCTAAACCTTATGAAAGAGAAATTAATTTTATTAATGCTGTAATATAAAGTTGCCATGACTAAAACAGTACAGCATTTGTCAGGAGTGATTTATGGTGTCTTTAAAATAGGTGGTATTATCTGAATTGGCCATCTGTTCTTGGTTTCAAAAAGTGTAGAATGGCCAACAAGAGTGAATCTGGTGAGCTGAGACTGCAGGACGAAAAACAATATAAGTTATCAATTCATGAGCCCCTTTCATTGGAAGATTGCATTGTTGTTTACAATCAGGAATTTATAAGCCTCATAAATTGTCTGCTGCAAAGGGATGCTATCTATTTAATTAAAATGTCAAGTTGGTGATTATGTAGCTTTGCAAGGACAGGAAAGGAGGAAGTGGCAAATGGCCTAGTTTCTAAGGTGAAGCCGAGCTTCTGAGATGAAGGAGGCTGTATTGAACACACACCATCCAGAATGCCAGGGGGCTCCTTCAGACAGTCAGTGTGGTCAAGATGGCATTGCTTACAACTCCATTTCTAAATGTTCCATTTATATTCAGTGCTGCATCGTGAAAGCTTTGTATTTAGAAGAAAAAGAAACAGCTCAATCATATTTTTCAGTTAGCAAAGGACGCTCCCCAAGTCTTCAGATGCTTTCTTACTCCCCCCACATTATTGAGCTAGGCTCTCAGATCTAGTGGGATCTTGCTAAACCCATGCACTTGGGCTATCAACTAGAGGAAACTTACCATGAACTCTAGAGCATTAAATTTGGCTGAAAGAAGATATCAGTCCAATCTCTGATTACTTTGACCATTCTTATCTTTTAAAATCCAGAGACCTTGTCCTCTCTATACCTATATATAAGTTTATTCATTTGTAAAACAGGTGATGATTGTGCTATCTACATGTTAGGGATGGTGAGGAGATATTGTAAAACACTGAAAAAGGAGGTTTCATGAAATCAAGAAGTCTTTTGCAATTTTAACATGTTAATGTCTGAAATAGCAAATTTGGCATACCATGTTATTGCCTTCAAATTTCTGATGGCTCTAAATTAAGTTCCTAGAACTAAATCCATAAATTAAGTAAATAATCACATAGCAATGAATGTTCTAAAAAACTTGTGTGTTTTACAAATATCCCTAAAATTTTAGTACCTAAGGCCCAGAGTTTTAACAGATATATCTGAAACTATTTAGATTGTTGATTCTAAAAACACGGAGGTACAAATTATAATTTTGAAAAATATACAACTAAAATTGTCATTTCTTTATTTCTATCTTAATGGTCCAATTTTAATTTTATTTAACCTTGTATTCTAATGAATTTTTCCTGTCCCTGTTGCTCTAGCCCCATGTACATTCCTATAAACACAAATAGGCCCCCATATTAAGATACAACAAAAGTAAAAGGACAAATGTTATCAAAATTCTTTAGAGGAAAAGCTTGTAAACTTCAGTACCTATTAATGGGTTCATTGACATTTTTAGAAACACAAAGTTATATTAAAATCCTAGGAACAATGAAGATAAACTGAGATACCTCTATGTTTTCTTTATAAAATTATATTTAGAAATTTTTAGAATGTTATTGCAACCACATATATATCTACTATTTAGAAGGTTCCCAGTACTTGAGGAATGTTTTACTACTCCCTATATTGTTATAGTTTTGAAAATTCAACCACATACAACACTGCAAAGGAGAAGAAGAATATAGACACTAAAGGACAATATGTGATTAGGTAGTTTTGTCAACAAAGACAAAACTAGAAAATTTCAAATGAAATTAACAGTATGTTAGGAAGGTAGTCTGACCAAGACTTGTTTCATGATGTGCAGAAATGTGATCGAACAAATACTGGCACTAAGAAAACAGTTTTTTTTTCTTTTTTCTCCTTCCTTCCCTCCCTCCCACTCATTCCCCACTCCTTCAAAATTTGAAGATTAAACTTTAAGTTGCAGCCTGGGCATCACTTTTTACCCTGTCTCTGAAATAATTTTATAAAATGTACCAGCTTAAAAATTATAATATTGATCATAAATATCATTTTTTTTACAGAATTCATGAGTAAACTTCCTCTTGGTACAGTGTATTCAAGGGTGTTAGCAAGTAGGAAAAATTAATTTATAACTGGTCACAAAACTTCTACACATTTAAAAACCATTGATTCACATGCCCATTTCTAATTATTTCACAGTTTTTGACATTAAAATCAACATAACATCTACATATTGCTGAGATGAGATGTTCAGAGTTTGCTAACTAAAATAAAACTTCTGTAATATAACTGCTTCAGCCTTTAAATCCCTACTTAAGCATGAGTGCTATCTTAACTATAGGCAGTAAATTTAGAGAGCTATAAATAAATTTCACACAATCATGAAAGCACAATGTATTTCATCCTGAAAACTGAAGGGGCAAATCTCACTTTTTTAAGGATGAGAGCCAATTGAAACTCATCTAAGGACAAAACATTCAAGTCCTTAAGAGACCTAATCATATGTTGTGTAATTATCAGCATACTTTGAGAAACATTTATGAAACAGCTATAAAATTTAGGAATGAAGAAACAAGGATTGGGTTTTGGCCTCTAATTTAATCTGGTTTATGACTTTATTGATCAAGCAAAAGTCCTGTTTTCTGGTAGCCATTTCAGTTAAATGTAACTAATAGATAAAACTAATATTAACTATAATTAGTGGGTATTAACTAATAGATATTTCCTTCTGGCTGTCCTATCTGATCTTCCCCCTGAAGTTCACACACGCTCTCTTAAAGGGCCATGTGTAGCTATGAATGTACCACTACTAGATTGTAAGTCCAGCTCTCTGTTACAGCAACGATTACCTGAATTGCATTTGTAGCCAGTTGCCTGCATATAGGAGAGGTGGTGGCTCATTTCTCTAAGCAACAGTCATCAGTAACCCAGATTTCATAATTTCACATTTTTAAATGAAATTTAATCCAGGAACACACAAACCTGTGGTTGTCCGTTTTCTCTTAAGGAATGAATAAGACTACTTGTAACATTTTGTTTGCTTACCTTTTGGACATGTTTTGCTGGTGCATAAAGTTCCTCTGGCCTTCCTAAACCTATTTTTCTGAAGACATTTTTCATCCCATTCCCAGAAGAGCTGTCCAGCAAGAATCAGCAGCCTTCTTTTGGGGTCTTCCATGTGTTCACCGTGACCAAGGAAACAAGCTGTTACCTAGCAACCTGGCCCTTTAGGAGGTATTGTTACCAATCTGTTAGTGCTCATCAAAGGAATTCCTGGGCTCCTGGAGCAGCTAATGGTGGATGCTGTTTCCAGGGAGTTTTCTAAACTGTGGTATAACTGAACCTTGACTACAGAAACATAAATTATAGCAGAGGGAGCAAATGGCCCTGGCACCCCTGAAAAGTGTGCTGTCTTCAGCTCTATTATTTCTTGAATTGTCTGCATCTGGCTTGGGTTTAGTTGAAGTGGTACTGATGCCATGTATCCCTCAGTATTTGGTTTCGTGCTCCTCTTCTGAAGTTTCAGAACAAGCAGAAGGAGCAAAAGGGAAGTTATCTAATTCCAGCTTGAAACTTGGTCAGATAAAACACCTTGGAATTGAAGGTAGGGAATTCTGCCTTGTTCAGCACAAGAAAACAAAAAGTATTTCCAAGCAAATGTTTACAGCCTGTCACAGAAAAAGGAGATAATATCATACTGTATTCTCATTTACTGATTCAAGAAGTCTGCTTAGAATGCCTGCTATGTAGGTAGACAGCACTGTGAATTTTTAACTTCAGGAGCTGATAAAACAAAAGTTCAGCCTGCTACTTGCATGCCTTCTTTCCTCCAAATAGAAAATGTTAGCTGTGCTTTTGAGGACTGAGAATTTGTTGTTTGCCAGAAGCACAGTAAACACTTTCATAGTCTCTACTGATTCAGAGAACAAGACATTTGGGAAACCATTTTATTTAAAAGCTCATTTCAAAACAAGATATTTGGCATGTCCTGGAAAAGAGCATTATGTTTCCATTTCATTTCTCTTTCCAAGCAGTGGTTATCCATCCATAGGCTAAAAATTTTCAGTAACCTTTGAAATGTGTTTCATATCAAAAGAGTGTAAACACATTCTCTACATTACGTTTCTGTTAGAACTTATATTACACACAAAATGTTTCAGGCTGAAACTTAGCATAAAAGCTTTCTGTGCTAAAAAATATCATTTGATATATTTGGTAAAGACGCACAATTGACTTGCTCTGTCCAAGTTAGTATAATTAAGAAAAGTTATCAAATATCTATAAAAGTTACATCTCAAATTTTCTGAATATTTTTTCCATGATAGTAGTAGAGACGCCAAATGGCAGACATTTCTTTACCCTTGTCATTTCTAAGCATCCTCAGAATTTCCCCAACTCCAAAAATTGTAAACCAGTATTATCCCAAGATGAATTAATTAAATTATAAACTGGTCTTAATATTTTTAGCTTTAAAGCCCCCAAAACACACCATAGCTCCACTATCTCAGGCAAAAGCTATTCATGCTCAAATGTTTTCATTCTGACTTTGCCAGAATCCTCTGATCCAATGTCTCCACCAGTCTCCCAGTTGATCCTCACACCTTCTCTATCTTCTGACTTCCAAGATCTCTTCTCCCATTCTTACTTCCACAAAGCAAACAGAAAGAAATTTCCTCAGGGTCCCATCATCCATTTATCCACCCACTCTCATCTTCCTGCCTATTTTCCATGCTTTCTCCTCATTTACAGGTATGACATCAGCACTTCTTTCTTCATTTGTGGACTAGAGCCTGTCCCTTCATCTCTCCTCAAGACCATTGGTCCAGAAATTCCTCTGCATCATCAATTTCTCCTCTTCACTGCATCATTCCCACAAACATATAAACATGCCATTATTTTCCCCATTTAAAGCAGAAACCAAACAAAAATGCCCTGGATCCATTTCTTGACCCAGCTTCATCCCATTCCTTTACATCCATTACAGTGCGGGGAAAGCTTTGCAAGAGTTGTCTGTGCTTGCGACACCCAGTTCTCTTCCCATCCCTCTTGAACTCATTCAGCTGTTGTTTTCACTCTACTGCTTCACTGGAACTACATTTGGCAAGGCCACTAATGACCTTCAAGTCACTAAATTCAATGGTTGGTTCCTAGCTCTCATTTCCTCGATCTAGCCACTGTATTTGAAACATCAAGTTACTCTCTTCCCTGAAACACTTTCTTCATTTGGCTTCTAGGACCCCACACTCAACTGGTTTTCTTTCTACTTTATAATCTCTTTTGCTATTCCCTACTCATCCGACTAATGTCTTAATACTGATGTGTCCAAATCTCAGTCTTTAGACTAACTCACTCCATTAATGATCCTATCCAGTCTCATGGCTTTAAAAACAATTTATATGCTAATGATTCCAATATTTATAACTCCATCCTAGACCCCCGCCTTCTCTCTCTTGAATTCCAGGGCTATATATTTACCTGCCTACTTGACATTCCTCTGGATGTTTCATAGTCACCTCCATCTTAATATTCCCAAAATAAACTTCTAAATCTCCTATCCAGACCAATCCCTTTTATATCCTTCATTTATACAAACCAAAAATCATGGAATTATCCTTAACTACTCTTTTCTTTCAAATATTGTATCCAATCCCTGGTGAAATCCTTTCAGCTCTAACTCAAAATATATTTAGAGTCTGGCCACTTCTCATCCACTCCATGGCTACCACAAGACCCCATATTTTTTTTTTTAACTTTGTATTTTGTATTGTAATTTAGCCAGTTCACAGTGTTGTGATAGTTTCTGGTGGACAGCAAAAGGACTCAGCCATACACATACATGTATCCATTCCCCAAATTCCCCTCCCATCCAGGCTGCCATATAACATTGAGCAAAGTTGCCTGTGCTACTTATGGCACCGTAAGACTCCATATTTCTCATTTATTTATTGAACGATAGAAACTATAGTAATGAACACTAACAATGTTGTGTTAGTTTTGGGTGTGCAGCAAAGATATTCAGAATATATATTCAGATTCTTTTCCATTATAGGTTATTATAAGATAATGAATATAGTTCCCTGTGCTATATACCATGGGTCCTTGTTGTTTATCAACTTTATATATAGTGGTGTGTATTTGTTAATCCCAAACCATTTATTCCTACCCCACTTTCTCCTTTGGTAACCATAAACTTGTTTTCTAAGTCTGAGTCTAGTTCTTGTTTGTAAATAAACTCATTTGTATCATATTTTTAGTTTCCATATATAAGTGATATCATGTCATATCTGTCTTTCTCTGCTTGACTTACTTCACTTAGTATAATAATCTCTAGGTCCATCCATATTGCCTCAAATAGCAATGTTTCATTATTTTTATGGCCGAGTAATATTCCAATGTACATATATAGCACATCTTCTTAAATTAGTCATCTGTTTACGGGCACTTAGATTGCTTCCACGTCTTGGCTATTGTAAGTAGTGCTTCTGTGAACACTGATGTGAGACCCCCATATTTCTTAACAGTATTATTGCAACAGACACTTCACTCGTCTCCTGGTTCAAACAATGCCCCTCACATTCTGTCCTCAAACGTAGCATGCAGAGTGATTCTGTTAGTTATTCTTCATATCAAACACTCAAACAGTTATCTATCTCACAAAGAAAGGACCAGCATCCTTACAAGGAAGTACAAGGCACTGATATATCTGGCATTAAAGAAAGTAATATCTCAAAATTAAAACTACTTTTGAAAAGTCCTCAAAACAATCAAGATTCAAGTTGACTAAGGTTCTTTGACAACTACCTGGAAGCCCAGGCTGATATATGATGTTAGACAATTAACTCTTTGAAAAAATCCTTCTACTTTTCTCTCTTATGGGCATCCCAGGTGGCACTAGTGGTAACGAATCTGCCTGCCAATGAAGGAAACACAAGAGACTTGTGTTCCGTCCTTAGGTGGGGAAGATCCCCTGGAGTAGGAAGTGATAACCTGCTCCAACATTCTTGCCTGAAAAATCCTATGGACAGAGGAACCTGGCAGACTATAGTCCAAAGAGTTGCAAAGAGCCGTACACGACTGGGTGACTAAGTATGCACACTACTTTTCTCTTAAGTTTCAGGACCAGTTAAAATAAGAAATGTTCCAAATTTGGAATGTGAGCTGTTAAAAAAAAAGGCTACCATTTACAAGTGCTTCTCTGTATAATGGAGTGTTTTCTCAATATTATGAAATAAAAACAAAAGGTAGAGTTTGTGGGTAGCTTCAGACTGTGGTAGCAGACTAGTTACCAGATCCCTAAGAGGTCCTCTTAGCATGTAGTACACACGCAATAGGTCCTCTGAGAAGTGTACAAAACAAAAAGAAGGGAAAAGTGTGTCTGCACAAAAACTCAGCAGACCTTGAGAACCGAGAGTGCTAAAACTTCAAAATAACTATGAATTTAAAAAAATGATGAATCTTTTTTTCATCTCATGTGTCTCTCATTTGTCAGTCCTAGCCTCTCTCCACAGCAGTACATCGCAAAAGCTGACCAAGAAAAATTGTGGAAAGGACAGAAAAAGATGGAGTCCAAAGTAGATCTAAAACTATCACAAGAAAAGATCAAGTCCCACCTAACCAGAATGTGTTATAAAACTGTCCACACAGATCAGAGGAAGGATTATTAGGGAAGAGATTTCAGAGTATGCCAGGTGAAAAAGCCCAGGCATGCTATAAAGGGGACATCTTTGAAATATGTAACTTCTGGGAGAGAAAAAATGTGAAAAAAGAAGTGAGAACTTCCCTTTGGCAATTAGGATGTGGAGACAAAGATAAAAGGGAAAATATATTTCTTATAATACGAAGTAGCATCTCTAGATGGAAGGACTCACAATTCATCCTGTGTCAGGTAATATCTCCCCCAGAGATGTCCACATCTGAATACCCAGAGTCTGGGAATGTGTTACCTTACAGAGAAAAAGGGAAGTAAGACAACAGATGGAATTAAGGTTGCTAATTAGCTGACCTCAAGACAGAGATTCTCTGTGTTTGCCAAGTGGACCCAATGTAATCACAAATACCCTTAAACATAAGA